TTTGAAGGCTTTAGAAATTACTACTTCCACAAGGAGGGATGTTTCTCAAGTTGCCTTATCTCATTCTCCAATCAAGATGCCACCTTCCATAATCCAACCACCCACACTTGAATTGAAAGCTTTACCTAGCCATTTGAAATATGCTTATCTAGGTCAAGATGGGACTCTACCGGTGATTATCTCTTCTCACTTGAAAGACTTTGAAGAAAACCAATTGATTGAAGTCTTGAAAGAGCATAAAGAGGCCATAGGGTGGACCATAGCGGACATCAAGGGGATAAGTCCTAATGTATGCACTCACAAGATACTCATGGAAGATGATTACAAACCTAGGAGGGAAGCCCAACGGCGATTAAACCCTCTCATGATGGAAGTTGTCAAGAAGGAGATAGTCAAGCTACTTGATGCAGATATGATTTATCCAATTTCCAACTCCAAATGGGTTAGTCCGGTGCAAGTGGTTCCCAAGAAAACAGGAATCAAGGTTGTGGAGAATAACAAAGGTGTAATGGTACCCACTCGAGTTCAAAATGGATGGAGGGTGTGCATTGATTATAGAAAGTTGAATTCAAGCACGCGGAAAGATCACTTCCCTCTTCCTTTCATTGATCAAATGCTCGAGCGATTGGCGGGGAAATCGCATTATTGTTGCCTTGATGGATACTCGGGCTTTCACCAAATACCCGTTGCCCCCGAAGATCAAGACAAAACAACTTTTACAAGCCACTTTGGCACATTTGCTTACAAGCGGATGCCATTTGGATTATGCAATGCTCCCGCCACATTTCAAAGATGCATGGCGAGTATCTTCTCCGAGTATGTTGAAAGTATAATCGAAGTGTTTATGGGTGATTTCACCGTGTATGGCAATTTGTTTGATGAATGTTTGGGTAACCTTCAGAAGATTTTTAAAAGGTGCATAGAGAAAAAGTTGGTGTTAAACTTTGAGAAATGTCGCTTCATGGTTAATCAAGGAATCATTTTGGGACACATCATCTCCAAAAAGGGCATTGAAGTAGATAAAGCCAAAATTGATGTCATCCAAACCCTACCTTACCCAACATGTGTTAGAGAAGTGAGATCTTTCTTGGGTCATGAGGGATTCTATAGAAGATTCATCAAAGATTTCTCTAAGATAACACGACCAATGTGCCTTCTTCTTCAAAAAGATATTGATTTTGACTTCAATGTTGCATGCCAAGAAGCCTTTGGCAAACTTAAATACTTGCTCACTTCCGCACCAATAATCCAACCTCCAAATTGGGAGCTTCCATTTGAAATAATGTGTGATGCAAGAAATTTTGCTATTGGAGCGATCTTAGGTCAAATAGAGGGCAAAGCATCACATGTCATCTACTATGCTTCTAAAACATTGGATAATGCTCAAGCCAACTATTCCTCCACTGAGAAGGAACTTGTAGCCATTGTATTCGCCTTGGAAAAATTCCGGCAATACCTTCTTGGGACAAAAGTAATTGTATATTCTGACTATGTCGCATTAAAGTATCTCATGACCAAGAAAGATGCCAAACCACGGTTGATTCGTTGGATTCTTCTTTTACAAGAATTCGACCTTGAGATAAAGGATAAAAGTGGTGCCAAAAACCTAGTTGCGGATCACTTAAGTCGGTTGAATGTTGGCGATTCTTCTTCTCCTATCCTTGATGAATTCCCGGATGAGCACCTCTTCCATATCTCAAATTCCATTCCATGGTATACGGATAATTTCAATTACTTGGTTACTAAAGAAATTCCTCACGCCTTTACCAAGCACCAAAAGGCCAAGTTGAAGAGTGATTCCAAATACTACGTATGGGACGACCCTTATCTTTGGAAACATTGTCCGGATCAACTAATACGGAGGTGTGTTCATCAAAATGAGGTCGAGTCAATTTTGAAATTTTGCCATGAATATGCATGCGGGGGACATTTTGGTCAAAACAAAACCATGCGAAAGGTGCTTGAATGCGGACTCTATTGGCCAACAATGTCAAGAGATACCTATCTATTTTGCAAAAGTTGTGATAGATGTCAAAGAACGGGTACCATATCCATGAGGCATGAGATGATTCAAAGTCCTATCCTTATTTGTGAAATCTTTGATGTGTGGGGAATCGACTTCATGGGTCCCTTCCCCGTTTCGTTTGGTTATACTTATATACTCTTGGCAGTTGATTACGTTTCAAAGTGGGTTGAAGCAAAGGCTACACGACATGATGATTCAAAAACTGTAATTGACTTCTTGAAGTCAAATATTTTCGCAAGATATGGTGTACCGAGAGCCTTGGTGAGTGATAGGGGCACTCATTTTTGCAATAAAATGATGGAATCAATGACAAAGAGATATGGTGTCACACACCGGATATCAACCACTTACCATCCACAAACAAATGGCCAAGCCGAAGTGTCAAAAAGAGAAGTCAAACAAATTCTTGAAAAGACCGTCAACACTACCCGAAAAGATTGGAGCTTAAAGTTAGAAGATGCTTTATGGGCGTATCGGACCGCCTACAAAACTCCAATTGGTATGTCTCCATTCTGCCTTGTTTATGGAAAATCTTGTCATTTACCGGTGGAATTGGAACACAAGGCATATTGGGCGGTTAAAAAGTGCAATTTCAATCTTGAAGAAAGTGGAAAGTACCAAAAAATGCAACTTCAAGAAATCGAGGAGTTGAGAAACGAGTCTTACGAAAATGGAAGCATCTACATAGATAAGACGAAAGCGTTTCATGACAAGCACATCACTCGAAAACACTTTATTCCGGGCCAAAAACTTCTTCTTTATCATTCACACTTAAAGCTATCCCTGGGAAAATTGCGATCTCGATTGCACGGACCTTTTATTGTCATAAAAGTGTTTGATCATGGTGCGGTTGAAATTAAGAGTTTAGAAACAAATCAAATATTCAAAGTGAATGGGCACCGCTTGAAACCATTTTATGAAGGCTTTGATACGGGAGAATTCGACAACATAACATTGGAAATACCAAATTACGAAAGTTGATGGAAGCGGAACTATGTCTTGGCAAAGACGTTAAATAAATGCAATGTAAATCAATAATGTCCGTTTGAAGTTTTGGGTGTTTCTACATTTGAAGTTGGCCATAAAAATAAGCATATAGAAGCCTTCCAGTGATTTTGGTGAAGTTTGAAAAATTCCAAAAATTTGACTTTTGCGCGGGTGCCCGCGCAGTCTTTGCGCGACCAACCCTAGCCGCGCAGGTCCCGAGTTCCAAATTACACAAACAAGGGGTGCAAACTGATTGTTGCGTGCGGCCAATACCCACCCGTGCAGGACGTTTGCGCGGCCAAGACTAAATCACTTTATTTATTGTGCGGCCACCTAATTGAACCCAAATTGCTCATCCCACCCGGATAGCCGCCCCACGTCCGCTCCATGTACGATAACCCGACCCATTTATCACCCACCCTTATAACCCCTTTAACCAGTCGGACCCTTCTTTCACCCTTTTGCCTCCCATCAACGAACAGTCCCTGCTACTCCCTCCACCATCGACTCCGCCGTCCACCACCGGTCGGCGCTACCAGCCGAGCACCACCAAAAGCCACCGCGCACGTCTTCCGCCTCCACCCAGCTTCTTCCACCGGCCAGCATTTCTGCTCCAGCGCAGTCGTCCTCCCCGTTCGCGTTTACTTTTCGTCGCCGGAAAAGCGAAGCTCCGCCGCTGTCACCTCCCCGCTAATCCTTACGCCGGCGCTCCACCAGCACCACCTTCCCCACCTAATTCCGCCTAAACCCCACCCTTTTCAACTCCGAAACCGTCACTGGCCGCCACCCTTCTCTTCCTCGCCGGAAAACCGAAAAACTGTAGATCCCGACACAACCTTCCATCCAATTCCAAAAATTCTTGGGGCAACCTGTACCAAACACTCCACCACATACCGATCTACTCTTAATTTGGGAAAATCTTATCACCGGAAAACCAAGCCCCACCACCGGCCGCCACCACCAATTTTCTCCAAAAATTTCAAAATTATTGTTTCTCACCGGAGATTCAAAAGACTTAACTTGTGGGCAAAAAATTCAAGCGTGGGGTGCGGATTTTTGCGGAATTCTTTCCGACTTCAACACACAAAGTTGGTAATCCCTTTTAATTTATTGCATTCAATTTCTAATTTTACCAGACTTGTGCTATGCATTAGGTTAAATAGAATTAATCTTAGCTTGCCTTGAATTGATTGAATTGAATTGAATTGTGCCAAATTGCCAATTTGGAATATTACCTGATTTTAATTATTTGATTTGAGTGGATTGGTGTGAGGTGAGTGTGAGGAATAATCTTGTTTAAGTTTTTTTCTTTGCTAGGTTTATTCACAGGTACAATGGCAAGGGATAAGACCATTCACGCATCTCATAGTTCTTCGTGTGAAGCTCAATCCTCGGGGCCATCCAAGAAAATGTCCACCGACCATGTTGATCGTGATGGGAACCTTACCCTCACGAGTGCCCAAAGCCGAGAGTTCAAATCCAACCTTCAAAAGCGTGCAATCCGTGCCACAAAATTTTACCACCAAGATTCTATGATCAACTCGGCCTTAACGACCACTTGTGACAACTATTTTTCCACATTGGTTGGCACCAGTTTCTCGATCTTTCTGCACGTACCTACAAGTAGCCCACAATCGAATTCCTCTCCACCTATGCCCGCAATGACACAGCGAGGGTACTCACTTTCAAACTCCAGGGTCGGCAGCACCGACTCAATTACAAAAAACTCAACAAGATCATGGGCACATATGACATCTACAACTCCGACATTTACAGCTACCAATGGACTCAATTCAAAAGCTTGCCCAACGTAGACTTTTGGACCCAAATCACGAGCCTGCCCAAGTTCAATCCCAGTCGCCAAAAAGACCCGTTTATAATACATCCTTGCTGGAGAATTGCCCACCGGATCCTATCCACATCTATCTTTGCTCGTCACGAGCCGGGAAAAATCAACACCGTTGAGTTGTATTTTCTCTATTGCATGTCGTGCCACCGTTGGTCTTTACCCGATTTCGCCACCTTCTTTTTAGACAAATGTGACAGCCTCAGGACGAAGACCACTGGTGACATTTGTATTGGAGGTCTCATTACCCTCATTGGTTTGGGTATGGGCCTTCAATTTCCAGCATCTGAATATGTACCAGTGGATGATCCACCTCTTTACCTTCTTGATTGCATTACTCTCATGCGGATGGAATTAATTCTACCTCATCCTAATCTTCTTGGACATTTCTCTTGGCTAAACCATGTCAAGGACCCAATTTACATCTTACCCAATCCAAGTATCTCCACCTTCATCACCAATGACCCCGAAACATGGTTTTTGCCTCAAGACTTGCCAGACGATGATGACGCAGCCGCGGATGATGACATGCAGGTGGATCCTGATGATGCTGATAGCCCATTCGAGGCTGAAGACCATTATGATCTCCCAATCCGCTAGCTACCTCGACCTCATCCAGCTCAAGCCTCCGGGTCACACTTTCAGCCCTCGCGAGAACACTCCCAGCCACAACATGACTACCACTCATACCAACAACCCAATGAGCCCGACCCTGCACATGAATTTCCTCTAGATATTTACAGCCAGCTTGCTTCCTTGCGCCTCCAGGGAAATAGAAACACCGCAGCCATGCATCGCATAGAGGAACAACAAGCATGCACCCACACTTACATGAAGGACCTATGGTATCATTTTCGGCCCGAGGACGATTATCCTCCTCGCGGGCCTCCTCCATCTTGATCCCGGTATAATCCTTCCTTATTCTCATCCTAAGCGTTGAGGACAATGCTTAATTTTAAGCTTGGGGTGAGGTAATCTAATCTTTTATTTTTATTGCATTTAGGTTGTATATAGTTGCATTTAGAGTTAGTCATTTAGGGCATTCATAAAAATTGTATAAAAAATTCAAAAATATTGCATATTTTCTTTCTTTCTATTCTAATTTTCATACTTTTTAGATGCATTCTAGTTTAAGTTCATGCATTTTGTTCTCTCTTGTCTTCTCATCCCTACAGGTACCATAGCGCCGAGTCATAAGTATTGAATCATAGATTGGTCCTGGGTCTTGATATGGAATTCCTTGTATTTGATGAATGGAGCACGTTGTGAGCCTCACAGACCACTTTGAGACCACTTGTTTGGGGGTCAGATGCAGGTAGCTTGACTGGGTCTAGGTGCGGAGGGATGTGGTTGGTCATGCCAATGTGTTCGAGCAAAGACTAGCCCAGTAAGGTATTTTGAAGACATTTAAGATCTTGAAGACTCCCATCTTGGTTTTGGAGGGAGTACCCCTTAGTACTCCCGAGTCTCGTCCGAGCCTTGTTTAGTTAGATTCTCACCGCCTTTTTAGGATAGGTTATCATTCTTCTAGGGGTCTAGAGTAGATAGTTAGATAGATTTTGTTTATCACACCTTGCATTGAGGTTCTTGATGAACTTTGAAATGGGTCCCCCAATTCACATCTTTTGGGACCAAGTCTTTTCGGTAACACCCAATTTTGAGTCATTCCCCACCCTTTTTAGTTGATCTTGGCACATTGTCAATGATCATTAGGTGTTTATATTGGCCTCCATCTATCACTCAATTTTCACTATTGGAGTCCTATGTTACTTGGTGAAAATCCTTAGACCATCCAAGAAGCAACACAAAAAATGAAGAAATTTGAAAAAGTGAAGAAAATAAGAGCCTATTAAAGATGATTCAAGAAAAGCAACAAAAACAAAGAAGAAAAAAAATGAAGAAAAAGAGCAACACAAAAAGAAGAACAATATTCCAAGTTCAAGACTTATGTTATATATCTAGTTTGCAAAAAAAAACAAAAAAAACAAAAAAAAATGGATGTCAAGCAGCAAATGTGATTGAAGACCCAATAACAGAAGTTCAAGATTGAAGATTTAGGTTGTTAGGTTTAGATTTAGGTTAAGTATAATTTTTATTATTTTATTTTATTTTTGATTTTTGGTGAGAAAAGGCCCCGACGATGAGACGGTAGACTGTAAAGGACAGTACAAGGGAGAAGCCTCTGAAACCGGATGTTTGCCCGAAGGTCGTGCTGGAAAACCCTATTTCGTTATTATACACTTTGGCCTGACAAATGTAGGAATCATAGTGTGTGAAGAGGCGCCTTTCCTTCGTGCACTATGGTCTACATTGGTGATTTAAAGTGCCCCCACTGGGCGCATCTCTGTTTCCTTTGTCTTGCACACCGCGACCGCATCCAGCCGTGATCTATTCGCCCATCAAGTGGTTAAGAATGTGGTTTATGGCTCTAAAGCGGGGAACATTTTGAAGATGCGTAGGGTCCATGAAGGACTAATTCTGACCATGTTGACTGATGTTGAACAAGTTCTATGGTATCTTTCTTTTTCCTTTTTAGATAGTTCATCCCGAGCTCATTTTTAGTCTTGTTCTAACTTGAGGACAAGTTAGGTTTCAGCTTGGGTGATTTGATAGCTTATTTTATTTCCTTATTTTTATTAGTTTATTTTAGATTTTTAGATCTTTTTATCATTATTGCATTGTATTTTATTTATTTTTCTTTAGTATGGATCGTACCGGGTGCTTGTTATGTTGCATAAGATATTTTGTAGGTTTTTCGGTGCTTGTTGCGGTTGCGGGTTGATTAGAGACGGGCTTAGTGGGCTCCCGAGGCATTATTGGGCTTGGCGGAATCAAAGAGGAGGAATTGGGCTTTGAAAGTTATTGGTTTACATTATTTGGGCTTGTGAAGATGGATCATAAAATTCAAATTTTAGGCTTGGAGCATCCATTTGGTGGCTAAATGATGATTGGTGCATTTCAAATTACATGGACAAGGAGGGGGGACCAAAGGAATCTTTGGTAGTGGAATGGTGGAGTGGCTTGGTGGACCAATAGCATTACAACAACATTTGCGCGGGTGGAATTTTCGTCGCGCGGGTACCCGCGCAACTGCCCAGTTTGGGTATTTTGGTCATTTGGCTTGCCATAACCCTTGGGGATCAGATCTATAAGCTCATTCACGATTTTCCACCATTAGAGACCTGCAAGAGGCGATTTTGGGAGCTAGAGATCATTTCCTTTCATCTTTCCAAATCTTAGGTAGTTTCTTTATGCAATTAGATTATTGTTCTTGTTACTTTGTTGCCATGAGTGGCTAATACTCTTATTTGGTTGACTTTGGCTGAAAACCAATGAATGTTTGTGGGTTTTGAAGGATTTAGGTTGATTATCAATTTATTCCATGTTTATGATTCTAGTTTGCAATTCTTATGCTTATTTGATACTTTGATCATGAGCTTAGTGTTTGATTGAGCAATCGTTGATTTATTTCATTGATTTTGCATTGGATCATTGAATTCATCTAGAACAAAGGCTTTATGATGGTAGAAATCATCTCTAGCTTATGAATCATATCTCCTTTATGGATGTGTAAGCATTTGACATCCACTAGGAATTGGGTTTCCTTCATTCTTAAGGCTAATTGATTTCTTGGGATTAATTGATTCAATTGACCCTTGATCTTAATTAAGAAGGTGTGTTGTGGGCTTCCCCAACCTCCATACTACCTATGAGGAATCTTGGCATATCATGCTTCATGATTGCTATAACCAATTTGGGATGAAGGATTAGCTTTGTATTAGATCCTAATGATAAACACACAAATGTTCATTGTGTTGAATTGCCTAAGTTAACCAATTATTCCCAACCTTTGAGCATCTCATCAACTTGCTTAATTGCAAGGTTTTTAGTTATTCAAGTATTTTAGTTTTCAAGTAATCAAACACCCCCCCCCCCCCCCCGTTTTATTTTAATTGTAGTTAGTTAGTTTAATTTCACTACTTCTATTGAATTGCATTGGTGATTGAATACAACCATTTCCCCGAGGATCGATACCCCTTTTTACCATTATATTACGTTTATTTAGCAATCAAAGGGTGTAGTTTGCTTGGTGGGCTCGACATCCCAACCACCTACAGGTTCAACTCCTGGCATCCCTTACTTCTTCTTAAAGATCCACTTGCATCCCACTAGCTTTTCTCCCTTGGATAATGGAACAATATCCCATATTTCATTCTTCTCTAACGATTGCTTTTCTTCATTCATGGCCATCAACCAGTCATTTGCTTCTTTCCTCGCCACATCCTCTTTATACGATTGAGGATCCTTGGTGTCAATGTATTCTTTAGTTGCTAAAGAAAAAGCAATGAAGTCAAGTTCATCTAAATTCACACATCCCACATATCTGTCAAGTTGTCGAATAAACCTCTTCGATCTTTTCCTTGCTATGGATTCCTATCCATCATCTTTCTCGAAATCAACACAACTATATGAAGATCACATGTGACGCTCTTGGGTTTCATCTTGGCCAGGTTGTTCATTCTGGCCTTGCTCTTTGTCACTTATCATAACTCTATCTGGAGTTTGAGATACAGAATCCACCTTCTGTCTAGCACCTTGATCTTTGTTCCCTGCTTGACTTGTCTCACCTCCTCCCTGGTTACCCATGGCAGATTCATAAAAGGTCACATCTCTACTCATGATAAATTTAGGAGTTCTTCCTTCTTCTGTACACAACAGTCGATAACCTTTTACTCCTAGCACATATCCTAGAAATATGCACTTCATTGCCCTTGGCTCAAGTATACCATCATTCACATGAGCATATGCGGGGTATCGAGATATACGTAAACCATAATAGTTAGAGGGTTTCCCGGACCATACCTCTTAAGGAGACTTCAAGTCTATTGCAGTTGATGGTGATCTATTCACCATATAGCATGTAATGTTAACTGCTTCCGCCCAGAATTTCTTGGATAAGTTAGCAAATATCCGCATGCACCTTGCACGCTACATGAGTGTTTGGTTCATATGTTCTGCCACTCCATTTTGTTGTGGTGTGTGCTGTATAGTGCAGTGCCTCACCATAGCTTATGCCTTGCAAAAGTTGTCAAATGGAGCATTGTAGAACTCCAACCCATTGGCTGTCCTCAGAGTCTTGACCTGTTTTCGTGTCCTTTTCTCAACCATGGTCTTCCACTCCTTGAACTTCCCAAGCACCACATCCTTCGTCTTCAGAAAGTACATCCAAACCTTCCTTGAATAGTCATCAATGAACTTCAAGAAGTATTAGCATCCACCTTGAGACTTCACTGGTGCAAGACCCCACAGATCTAAGTGAACATACTCTAGGATTTCCTTACTAGTGTTTTGACCGGTACCAAACTTCACTTTACGATGCTTTCCCTTAACACAAGCTTCAAATTTTTTTATCTTTCCAGTAGCCTCTCCACCAAGCAGGCATTGTTTACTCTTAGAACTGACATGCCCTTCTCACTTATGTTCCCCAACCTACGATGCCACAACTATGTCTTGTCATCACATTCCTTTCAGGATTGGGATATAGCCACTGTTCCCATAGCCATACTTCCTTCTAGGATATATATCCCTCCACGATTCAT